AGTCACCCCTGACCCATCATGTGGGTGGTAGTCACCCTTGACCCATCCTGTGGGTGGTAGTCACCCCAGACCCATCCTGTGGGTGGTAGACACGTCTGACCCCTCCTGTGGGTGGAATGTCACCCAGACCCCTGCCTGTGGGTGTAGTCACCCAGACCCATCCTGTGGTGAGGTAGTCACCCCAACCATCCGTGGGTGGGTAGTCCCCCAAGACCCATCCCGTGAGTTAGCCACCTCTGACCCATCCTGTGGGTGTTAGTCACCCCAAACCCATCGTGTGGGTGGTAGTCACCCCTGACCCATCCTGTGGGTGGTAGTCACCCCAGACCCATCCTGTGGGTGGTAGTCACCTCAGACCCATCCTGTGGGTGGTAGTCACCCCAGACCCATGCTGTGGTGGTTAGTCCACCCCAGACCCATCCCGTGGGTGGAATCACCCTCCAGACCCAATCGAGTGGGTGGTAGTCCCTCAGACCCATCCTGGGTGGTAGTCACGCCCAGACCCATCCTGTGGGTGGTAGTCACCTCAGAACCCATGCCTGAGGGTGGAAGTCACCCCTGACGCCCATCCAGTGGGGTGTAGTCACCCTTGACTCCATCCCTGTGGGTGGTAGTCACCCTTGACCCATCCGACGGGTGGTAGTCACCCCAGACCCATCCTGTGGGTGGTAGTCACCCTTGACCCATCCTACGGGTGGTAGTCACCCCAGACCCATCCTGTGGGTGGTAGTCACCCCAGACCCATCCTGTGGGAGATAGTCACCCCTGACCCATCCTGTGGGTGGTAGTCACCCCAGACCCATCCTGTGGGTGGTAGTCACCCCAGACCCATCCTGTGGGTGGTAGCCACCCCTGACCCATCCTGTGGGTGGTCGTCACACCATACCCATCCTGTGGGTGTTAGTCACCCGAGACCCATCGTGTGGGTTTTAGTCACCCCAGACCCATGCTCTGGGTGGTAGTCACCCCAGACCCATCCCGTGGGTAGTAGTCACCCCAGACCCATCCTGTGGGTTGTAGTCACCTCAGACCCATCCTGTGGGTGGTAGTCACCTCAGACCCATTCTGTGGGTGGTAGTCACCTCAGACCCATCGTGTGGGTGGTAGTCACCCATGACCCAATCTGTGGTGGGAGTCACCCCAAACCCATCCTGTGGGTTGTAGTCCACCTAGACCCATCCTGTTGGGTGTAAGTCACCTCAGACCCATTCTGGGGAGGTAGTCACCTCCAGACCCATTCTAGTGGGTGGTAAGTCACCCCAGACCCATCCTGTGGGTTGTAGACACCCTCAGACCCATCCTTGTGGGTGGTAGTCACCTCAACCCACCTGTGGGAGGTTAGTCACCTCAGAACCCATTCTGTGGGTTGTAGTCACCCCAGACCCCCCTGTTGGTTGTATTCACCTCAGACCCATCCTGTGGGTGGTAGTCACCTCAGACCCATTCTGTGGGTGGTAGTCACCTCAGACCCATTCTGTGGGTGGTAGTCACCTCAGACCCATCCTGTGGGTGGTAGTCACCCCATACCCCTCCTGTGGGAGGCAGTCACAACAGACCCATCCTGTGGGTGGTAGTCATCTCAGACCGAACCTGTGGGTGATAGTCACCTTTGACCCATCCTGTGGGTGGTAGTCACCCGAGACCCTTCCTGTGGGTGGTAGTGACCTCAAACCCATCCTGTGCGTGGTAGTCACCCCAGACCGATCCTGTGGATGGTAGTCACACCATACCCATCCTGTGGGTGGCGGTCACACCTGACCTATCATGTGGGTGGAAGTCACCCCTGACCCATCCTGTGGGTGTTAGTCACCCCAGGGCCATCCTATGGGTGGTAGTCACCCCTGACCCATCCTGTTGGTGGTGTCACCCCTGACACATCCTGGTGGGTGGTAAGTCACCCCAGACCCATCCCTGTGGGTGGTAAAGTCACCCAGACCCACCTGTGGGTGTAATCACCCCGACCCATCCTGTGGGAGGTAAAGTCACCCCAGACCCATCCTAGGGTGGTAGTCACTCGGGGCAGACCCATCCTGTGGGTGGTAGTTCACCCCTGACCCATCATGTGGGTGGTATTCACTCAAAACCCATCCTGTGGTGGTAGTCCCCAAGACCCAATCGCTGTGGGCGGTATCACACCCATACTAATCCCTGTTGATGGAAGTCACCCCTGACCCATACAGTGGGAGGTAGTCACCCCAGACCGATCCTATGGAGTAGTCACATCATACACATCCTGTGGGGTGGTAGGTCCCCATGAACCCTCCAGGGGGTGGTAGTCCACCCTCAACCACCCAGTGGGTGGCAGACATTATCCCAACCCATTCTGTGGTGGAATTCACCCATGACGCATCTTAGGGTGGTAGTCCACCCCATACCCATCCTGCTGGTGGTAGTCACTAACCCCCAGAACCATCCTGTGGGTGGTTTGTCACCCCTGGCCCACCCTGTGGGTGTAAGTCCCAAGTGTACCAAGACCCATCCTGTGGGTGGAAGTCACCCCAGGCCCATCCTGTGGGTTCAAGTCACCCCAGACCCATCCTGTGTGTGGTAATTCACCCCTGACCCTTCCTTGGGTGGTAGTCAACCCCTGACCCATCCTGTGGGTGGTAGTCACTGTGACCCATCCTGTGTGGTAGTCACCCCAGACCCCATCCTGTGGGTTGAAGACACCCCAGAACCCATCCTTGGGTGGTATGACACACCAGACCCATCCTGTGGTGTAGACACCCCAGACCCATCTGTGTGTGTAGTCACCACAGACCCATCCTGTTGGAGGTAGTCTCCCCAGACCCAATCCTGGTGGGTGGTAGCCACCCCTGACCCCAATGCTGTGGTTGGTAGTTCACACCATACCCCAGCCTGTGGGTGGGAGTCACCCAAGACCCATCCTGTGGGTGTAAGTCACCCCAGACCCATCCTGTGCGTGGTAGTCACCCCACACCCGTCCCTGTGGGTGGTCACCCCAGACCCATCCTGTGGGTGGTAGTCCACCCCCTGACCCCAACCTGAGGGTGGTAGTCACCCCAGACCCATCCTGTGGGTGGTAGTCACCCCTGACCCATGCAGTGGGTTGTAGTCACCCCCTGACCCATCCTGTGTTGTAGTCCCCCATACCCATCGTGGGTGGTAGTCACGCCAGACCCTTCGTGTGGTGGTAGTCACCCCTGACCCCATCCTGTGGGTGGTAGTCACCCTCTGACCCATTCCTGTGGGTGATAGTCACCCCTGAACCCTTCACTGCGGGTGGTAGTCCCATCCTCTGACCCATCCTGTGGGAGGGTAGTCACCCCCCAGACCCCTCTTGTGGGGTGGTAGTCACCCCGACCCATCCTGTGGGTGGTATTCACACCCAACCATCCTGTGGGTGGAAGTCACCCTAGACCCATCCTGTGTGCGTAGTACCCCAACCCTCCCTGTGGGTGGTAGCCACCCCTGACCCATCCTGGGGTGTAGTCACACCATACCCAAATCCTGTTGGTGGTATAACCCCTGACCCATCCGTGGGTGGTAGTCACCCCTGACCATCCTGGGGTGTAGTCACACCAGACCCAACCTGTGGTGATAGTCCCACCCCTGACCCATCCTGTGGGTGGTAGTCACCCTGACGCCATCATGTGGGTGGTAGTCACCCCACACCCCCATACCCATCCTGTGGGTGGTATCACCCACCTCTGACCCAACCTGTGGGGGTAGTCACCCTATGACACATCCTGTGGGTGGTAGTCATACCCATAACCCATTCCTGTGGTGGGTAGTCGACCCCAGAGCCCATTCATGGGTTTGTAGTCACGACTCCTGCCCTATGCTGTGGGTGGTAGTCACCCTTGAACCCATCCACAGGGTGGTAGTCACCTTCATACCCATTCTGGTGGGGTTGATCAGCGAGCCCTCCCACTCTCCACACCCCCTGACCCAATCGTGTGGGGTGTAGTCACCCCAGATCCATCCTGGGTGTATCTCCCCAGACCATCCTGAGGGTGGTATTCACCCCCAGATCCAACCTGTGGGTTGTAGTCTCCCCAGACCCATCCTGTGGGTGGTAGTCACCCCAGATCCATCCTGTGGGTGGTAGTCTCCCCAGACCCATCCTGTGGGTGGTAGTCACCCCAGATCCATCCTGTGGGTTGGTATCACCCCAGATCCATCCTGTGGTAGGTAGTTCACCCCCAGATCCATCCTGAGTGTGGTAAAGTTATACGATAAACCAACCTGTCGACTTATGTCAACCCCATCACCAGCCCCTGGGAAGCACACTCTCTTTCTCATCTTCCTATCTCTGTTGCAACAAGCATGGTCCATATAACTTACCTGAGAATCTCCAACAATCAGAATGTTCTTACCTTGATTAGCAGGGGAGTCAGTGGTTCCTTTACCCTCACTAACCACTGAAGTACACTCGTCCTGGAGAACAAAGAATCGATTTCCTACCTTCAAATCTTCTCTATTAACCTTCCTTATCTTGAGGCTTCTTCCTGTATTCTAAACCACTTGCTACTTAAAGCGGCTGCCACTCTCCAACTCACTGCTGGTAACCTTTTCCTCCTTACCAGCTCCAACCATCTCACACTTCCTCCTTACCAGCTCCAACCATCTCACACTTCCTCCTTACCAGCTCCAACCAATCTCACACCTCCTCCTTACCAGCTCCAACCAACTCACACTTCCTCCTTACCAGCTCCAACCATCTCACACTTCCTCCTTACCAGCTCCAACCATCTCACACTTCCTCCTTACCAGCTCCAACCATCTCACACTTCCTCCTTACCAGCTCCAACCATCTCACACTTCCTCCTTACCAGCTCCAACCATCTCACACTTCCTCCTTACCAGCTCCAACCATCTCACACTTCCTCCTTACCAGCTCCAACCATCTCACACTCACTCCCAAACCCATCTAGGCAAAGCTTCAACATCCTATTCTCGTCTTGAATAAGTAGAACCTCCATCTTCAATGCTATAACCTGAGATTCTAAAATACTACAGTAAGCCATGGTGCTCAGTAACACCCCACGCCAGTCCCAGGACAGCTTAGGGCAATATTGCAAGCTTCTGATGATGCACTGATTGCAATACGAAAGGTCTAATGCTATCATTCAAATCCCACTGTGTTCGTTTTGCATATCTGTATATCTGAAGATTTATCTATCTACCTACATATCAATCTGTGTGGGAACAAAATATATCTGTGTACCTATATATCGGTCTGTGTAGTTGCTGGAGGCCTTTCATGGTGACATCTGAGAACTTCGTCAGGAGCAGTGCTGGAGAATGTAATGTATTGTTTATTCTGATAATACAGAGGTGTTTCCAGATACTGTAGTGGTGTCTTCGTTATATAATGGTGTCTCTAGGCACTATAGTGGTGTCTCTAGGCACTATAGTGGTGTCTTCAGGCAGTATAGTGTCTCTCCAGCCACTATAGTGGTGTCTCCAGGTACTACAGTGTGTCTCCTGGGACTATAGTGGTGTCTCCAAGCACTGTAGTGGTGTCTCCAGGCACTATAGTGGTGTCTCCAGGCACTATAGTGGTGTCTCCATGCACTATAGTGGTGTCTCCAGGCACTATAGTGGTGTCTCCAGGCACTATAGTGGTGTCTCCAGGCACTATAGTGGTGTCTCCAGGCACTATAGTGGTGTCTCCAGGCACTATAGTGGTGTCTCCAGGTACTAAAGTGTGTCTCTCAGGTACTATAGTGGTGTCTCCAGGCACTATAGTGGTGTCTTAGGCACTATAGTGGGTGTCTCCAGGCACAATAGTGGTGTCTCCAGGCACTATAGTGGTGTCTCCAGGCACTATAGTGGTGTCTCCAGGCACTATAGTGGTGTCTCCAGGCACTATAGTGGTGTCTCCAGGCACTATAATGGTGTCTCCAGGCACTATAGTGGTGTATCCAGGCACTATAGTGGTGTCTCCAGGCACTATAGTGGTGTCTCCAGGCACTATAGTGGTGTCTCCAGGCACTATAGTGGTGTCTCCAGGCACTATAATGGTGTCTCCAGGCACTATAGTGGTGTATCCAGGCACTATAGTGGTGTCTCCAGGCACTATAGTGGTGTCTCCAGGCACTATAGTGGTGTCTCCAGGCACTATAGTGGTGTCTCCAGGCACTATAGTGGTGTCTTCAGGCACTATAGTGGTGTCTAATATGAAGAAAGCTTCATAGGAGAGCTTTATAAGAATTTCAATAGAGCTTTATAAGAGATCTTTCCAAGTGAGCTTTATAAAAGAGTTGTCTAAGTGAAACCATATAAAAAGGCTTATTAGAAAACTTAGAGTGGCTTTATAAAAGTTTTGAGTGAGCTTTAGAAGAGCTTTATTAAAAACTTTGTAAGGAGTTTTATAAAAGGGTCTGCCCAGAGTGTTTTTTGGTGAGCTTTATAAGAGAGTTTCATGAGTGGGGGTTTATAAAAGAGTTTTAGATAACTTTATAAAAGTTTTAAGAAAAGCTTATAAAGACTTTATAGTATTTTATAAGAAACTTTATGATAACTTTAAAAGAATTTTTAAGAAAGCTTTAAAAAGAGATTTTATAGTCCTTTTAAAAGAGGCTTTATGAGTAAGCTTTATAAGAGAGCTTTATGAGTAAGTTTTAAAAGAGACTTTTTATGATAAGCTTTATAAAAAAACTTTATGAGTAAGCTTTATAAGAGAGCTTTATGAGTAAGCTTTATAAGAGAGCTTTATGAGTAAGCTTTATAAGAGAACTTTATGAGTAAGCTTTATAAGTGAGCTTTATGAGTAAGCTTTATAAGAGAACTTTATGAGTAAGCTTTCTGAGTGAGCTTTATGAAAAAGCTTTCTGAGGACTTTATGAGAAAGCTTTCTGGGATTTTTAAAGAAAGTTTTCTGAGGACTTTTGAGAAAGCTTTCGAGAAAAGCTTTATGATAAAGCTTTTGAGTAAGTTTTTTGAGAAAGCTTTCTGAGTGAGTTTTAGAGAAAGTTTTCTGAGGAGAAAAGAGAAAGCTTCTGAGGGTTTTATGAGAAGCTTTTGAGTGAGCTTCATGGGAAAGCTTTCTGGGAGTTTATGAAAAGCTTTCTGATGGCTTGTGAGAAAGCTTCTGAGTGAGCTTTAGGGAAAAAGCTTCTGGGAACTTTATGAGAAAGCTTTTAAATAAGCTTTATGAAAAAGCTTTCTGAGTAAATTTTAGGAAAAGCTTTCTGAGTAGTTTTATCAAAAAGCGTTCTGACTGAGCTTTATGAGAAAGCTTTCTGATTAACTTTATGAGAAATTTACTGAGTGGTTTTATTAAAAACTTTCTGAGTGGCTTTATGAGAAAGTTTTCGGGGTGACTTTATGAGAAAGTTTTTCAAGTGGGGCTTTATGAGAAAGTTTTCTATAAGTTTTATGAGAAAGCTTTCTGATAATTTTTGAGAAAGCTTCTGGTGAGTTTTATGAGAAAGCGTTTTGATGGTTTATGAAAAAGCTTTCTGAGTGGCTTATGAGAATGCCTTTCTGAGTAAGCTTGTGAGAAAGCTTTCTGGAAAGCTTTATGAAAAAACTTTCTGGGGAGCTTTATGAGAAAGCGTTCGGAGTGAGCTTTTAGAAAGTTTTCTGAGTAAGCTTTATGAGAAAGCTTATGAGTGACTTTATGAGAAGCTTTCTGAGAACTTTATGAGAAAGCTTTCGAGTGAGTTTTATAAAGAAGTTTATAAAAACCTTTCTGAGTGGTTTCATGAAAAAGCTTTTGAGCGATTTTATGAATTTTCTGATGAGCTTTATGAAAAGCTTTTGAAAGCTTCATGAAAAAGCTTTCTGAGTGAGCTTTATGAGAAAGCGTTCGATGGCTTTATGAGGTTTCTGAAAAGTTTTATGAGAAAATTTCTGAGTGAGCTTTAGAGAAAATTTTCTAAATAAGCATTATGAGAAATTTTTTCTAGCGATTTTATGAGAAACTTTCTGATGAGCTTTATAAAAAGTTTTCTGAGGAGCTTTATGAGAAAGCTTTCTGAGTGAGCTTTATGAAAAGCTTTCTGGCAAGCTTAATGAAAAAGCTTCGAAACTTTATGAAAGGTTTTTCTAGTGGTTTATGAGAAAGCTTTTCTGAGTGAGCTTTATGAGAAAGCTTCTGAGTAAGCTTTATGAGAAAGCTTTCTGATAAGCTTATGAGAACTTTCTGAGTGACTTTATGAGAAACGTTTTGAGTGAGTTTTATGAAAAGTTTTTCTGATGAGATTTATGAGAAAGCTTTCTGAGTAAGTTTTTATAGAAAACTTTCTGATGAGCTTTTATGAGAAAGCTTTCTGATGAGCTTTAGAAAAAAGTTTTCGAGAAAGCTTTATGAAAAAAGCTTTCTGAGTGAGCTTGATAAAAAAAAAGCTTTCTGGTAAGCTTTATGAAAAGCTTTCTGAGTGAGCTTTATGAAAAGCGTTCTGAGGACTTATAAAAAAGTTTTCTGAGAAAGCTTTATGAGAAACTTTCGATGAGTTTGATGAAAAGCTTTCTGAGTAAGCTTTATGAAAAAGTTTTCTGAGTGAGCTTTATGAAAAGTTTTAAAGAGAAAGTTTCGAGTAACTTTAGAAAACTTTCGAGCGGCTTTAGGGAAATTTTTCTGAGTAGCTTAAGAGAAAGCTTTCTGAGTGAGCTTTATAGAAAGCTTTTGAGAAAGCTTCATGAGAAAGTTTTTCTGAGTGGTTTTTATGAGAAAGTTTTCTGAGTGAGCTTTATTGGAAAGCTTTCTAGTGAGCTTTAGGAAAGCTTTCTGGGAGCTTTAGGGAAAAGCTTTCAGAGTGAGCTTTATGAGAAAGTTTTCTGAGTAAGCTTTAGAGAAATTTTTCGGTAAGCTTTAGAAAAGCTTTGAGTGGCTTTATGAGAAAGGTTTTGAGTGGCTTTAGAAAAGCTTTCTGAGTGACTTTGAAATGCCTCTGAGTAAGTTTGGGGAAAGAAAGCTTTCTGAGTAAGCTTTATGAGAAAGCTTTTTTTATGAGCTTTTAAAAAGCTTTCTGATGATTTTATGAGAAACCCTTTCTGAGTAAGCTTTATGAGAAAGCTTTAGATGGCTTTATGAGAAAGTTTCTGAGAAAAGCTTTATGAAAAAGTTTTCTGAGGAGCTTTAGGAAAGTTTTTATGAAAAACCCTTTTTGAGTAAGCTTCATGAGAAATTTTTTCGACGATTTTTTAGGGAACTTTTTTGAGTGAGCTTATGAAAAAACTTTCTGAGTAAGCTTCAGGGAAAAGCTTTCTGAGTGAGCTTTAGAGAAAGGTTCTGAGTGAGCTTTATAGAAAGCTTTCTGAGTAAGCTTTTGGAAGCTTTCTGATGAGCTTTAGGGAAAAAAACTTTCGAGTAAGCATTATGAAAAATTTTTTAGCGAGTTTTATGAAAAGCTTTCGGGTGAGCTTTATAAAAGCTTTTGAGTGAGCTTTATGAAAAAGCTTTCTGATGAGTTTTATGAGAAAGTTTTTGAGCAAGCTTTATGAGAAAGCTTTCTGATAAGTTTATGAGAAGGCTTTCTGAGTGAGTTTTATGAGAAGCGTTCTGGTGAGCTTATGAAAAGTTTTCGAGAAAGCTTTATAAAAGTTTTCCCTGAGAAAGTTTTTGAGAAGGCTTTCTGAGTGACTTTATAAAAAAAGCGTTTTGATGAGCTTTATGAGAAAGCTTTCTGATGAGATTTATGAAAAAAAAAGCTTTCTGAGTAAGCTTTATGAGAAAACATTCTGAGTGAGCTTTATGAAAAGCTTCTAAATGAGTTTTAGAAAAGCTTTTGAGAAGCTTTTTGAAAAAGTTTTCGAGTGACTTGTGAAAAAGTTTTCTGAGTAAGCTTATGGAAAGCTTTCTGATTGAGCTTTAGAGAAAGCGTTCTGAGTGACTTTAGAAAAGCTTTCGGGGTGCTTTATGAGAAGCTTTCTGAGTGACTTGATGAGAAAGCTTTAGAAAGTTATGAAAAGCTTTCTGAGTGAGCTTATGAAAAGTTTTAAGAAAAGCTTTTGAGTAACTTTAGAAAAGCTTCTGAGCGGCTTTAGAGACTTTTTCTGAGGAGTTTAAAAGAGAAAGTTTTCTGAGTGAGTTTTATGAGAAAGCTTTCTGAGTAAGCTTATG